ATAATAATAATAATAATAATAAATGACATTTATATAGCGCTCAATCACGATTAAAGTACACAGGCTCTGAGCGCTTTACAATACAGTATAACGTACAACAGTAACATAAAACATAAATACCCATCTTATTAATTCAAAAACAGAAACGACTTCAGCTGACATTTGAATTTATCAAAAGATTCGATCTCTCTTAAAGTACTTGGTAAAGCATTCCAGATCTTGGGGCCTTGGTATTCAAATGCCCTTTCACCCATTGTTTTAAGTTTCATACCGGGTGCCATCTTGGACAAATATGACTTTGCTTTGTTCACAAACCTTCCAGGTACTGTAGAGCGGACAATCTGTGTGATTTCGTCCACTCTGCATTCGTCGTCCTTCACGATGATGAGGTGGTAACCAGCACCTGGTAACAACCAAAAAATGTGTTACAACATGGTGGAATCAGCCACTCATCAGTTTTTGGGCATGTGGAGTTATTTATATAATCTTAAAGCTTGTTAATTTGTCTTATGCAACTGCATATCGTCAAATGAGCGCCAAGAGGTGGATGTCAACAGAAAAGTCCAAACGGGGAATCAGGCTTACTCTGCTCACCTTCCTAGCCTCAACAGCTTGGACTATCAAGGCACCCTGGAAATAGCAGTTCTCAAGAAAGTGACAAATACACAAAAGAAGTAGACGGAAAATGACGATAGTGAGGATGAAGAAATAAAAAAGCAGCAGTTCCACCACCATTTCCCACTTACCGTAAAGTTTTTTCAGGAACATGGAGGTCCCGCAGCACTTGACCACGCCCTCCGCCATGATGGCGATCCTGTCCCCGAGCGCGTCCGCCTCGTCCATGTAGTGGGTGGTCAGCAGGACGGTCCGGCCTCGTTTGTTCCGCTGGAGGACGTCCCAGAGGTGCCGGCGTGCCCCCGGGTCCATGCCGGAGCTGGGCTCGTCCAAGATCACCACCTGAACAGAGGAACAATCGAATGACGTCACATCATGTCAAGCTGTTTCCAATGCAATTCTTTGAATACCTTGATAACGACTCCGAATAATCTCAACCAGAACCCGTCTGCTGGGATATTTCAGTAACCCACTTTCAGCACTTTTTAAGGACCCTCGGGCAAGTGTTGAGTTCCTGCGTGCTGTCGGCATCGGTGACCGTTTATGACGCCACAGCGCCAGAAGAAAGAGAGAGAATAATCTCACAGTTGTCATAGAGCAGATAGAACATTGGGTTTCTGACCTCATGATCATAATAAATCAATTTAAGGTTGTGAAATACAATTGTGAGGCACCATGGTGAAAGCAGGCATTCATTAAAATAATCAAACCAAAGAAATCTGCTTTTTTTTGGCAGAAGGGCAATTTTTTTCCAATTTTCTTCTTTTTTTTTTTGTTGCTTATCACCTTTACGTAGATCTAAAAACACATTTCTGTGTGGATTTTACTGAAGAATGTTGATTTAAAGCACTAAAATGTAAATTTGCAGCTCCTAAGAACTCTCACCCTTTGGAAGTCACCAAATTTTCGCGGCCATTTTCTCGCTAATTTTACATCTATAATCAGACAACCCTCACCTCCTTCATTCGCAAATTTCTTGACTACCATAGATGATAGATGGGTATTTTTTTCACCAAAAGCAAGACAAATGAACAAGCTTTAAAACGATATCAATAACTACACATGTCCAAAAATTGATGAGTGCCTGATTCCACTGCTACATTCATGATCCAAGGAAAAAAACATAATGACTTTACTACATTCATAACCCAAGGAAAGAAATATAATGACTTCGCTACGTTCATGACCCAAGCAAAGAAATATAATGACTTCGCTACATTCATAACCCAAGGAAAGAAATATAATGACTTCGCTACGTTCATGACCCAAGCAAAGAAATATAATGACTTCGCTACATTCATGACCCAAGCAAAGAAATGTAATGACTTCGCTACATTCATAACCCAAGGAAAGAAATATAATGACTTCGCTACGTTCATGACCCAAGCAAAGAAATATAATGACTTCGCTACATTCATGACCCAAGCAAAGAAATATAATGACTTTACTACAGTCATGACCCAAGCAAAGAAATATAATGACTTCGCTACATTCATGACCCAAGCAAAGAAATATAATGACTTTACTACATTCATGATCCAAGGAAAAAAATGTTGTTTGCAATCTAGAAAGGGAAAAAAAAATGCTGAACTAAATTCAGGGAATTTTTCTCTTTTTTAACCCTTTTGTTTCTTGGCAGTTGTAAGTTTTTGTGCGTTTTTGAAAAGAAATGCAGAATCTTATCATCACGAGGAAATAAAAGCTAAAAAAACAAACCCACAAATATTTTTACTAATATTCTTAAAATAAATTAAAAACGTGTTTAACACATGTCATCATAACAACCAAAATTTGTCCCCCGCAGAGAATGGTGACCTCGTATATGTGTACAAGGCATAGATGTACACTATAGTCACTCTATGGTACAAGGACGAACATGTTCTGAATGTAGGACTCGTTTACTCTACCTCCTCATCACCGGCAAGCCACTCGCTCCCAGCGGCTCGCAGTTGGAACAGTGGTGCAGGTGAGTGCGCAGTCGGTAGCTCGGGCACATTCCTTAAGATGACTCTGACGTCAAATTACTTTTCAGCAATTGTTGAAAACAAGTCACAATTAGCGGGAGTTCATTCATTAGACGAAGACTATCAAACTAGGTTACCTTGTTTTCATTTAACTCTTTAACCCCGAAATTATTTTAGAGTTAATGACCAAATTAGTGATCAATATGCCATTTTTAGATTTTGTACTAAAAGAAGGCCTCTTCATGGTGGTGGGTATTTCTCCACCTAAGAGAGAAAAAAAAAGTTACCAAACAAAAAAAAGAAAAAAAAAGAAGACCAAAGATGACATGGCGACGAGCGGTACAAGCTGAAATTGAAAAAGCGGGGACATCATGGAAACAGATCGAAAAGGATGCTCAGGACACGCTTCGCTGGAGTAATGCTGTTGATGGCCTGTGCTCCACTGGGAGTTGAAACGGGCAAGAGAGAGAGAAACAAGCAAAAAAACACGGTTTACCTTGGAGCCCCCTATGAGAGCGATGCCCACCGACAGCTTCCTCTTCTGACCACCGGAAAGATGCTGGGCCTGGGTGTTCTCTTTGCCGGTCAAGAACATGTCGTTGACGACCGCGGCTATCAGAGTGTCCAGGTTCTCAGTGACTCCTTTCATCTGACAGGCACATGTAGGGAAAAAGCATAGATCAATAAAACGACACTTTTATAGATCACGTAACGGGGGAAGGGGGAGGATATAAAAACAAATAAATGCAGAAAGAAAGAAAGAAAGAAAGAAAGAAAAAAAGAAAGAAAGAAAGAAAGAAAGAAAGAAAGAAAGAAAGAAAGAAAGAAAGAAAGAAAAAAATAAATACTAGACCTACCTAGTTTTGAAAAATTCGATGAGTTCCACATCATGTCAAGCTCTTTCAAATACAAATCTTTGAAGATCTTGATAATGACCCTGAATAATCTTGCGATTTTGATAGAGCAGACAGAACATTGTCGGATAGAACTTAGTAATTCAAAGTTAGCCATCAGGCACACACATGTACGTGTGGCATCGGTGGCGTAGTGGTTAGGCTACCGGATTCGCAATTTTGAGGTTGCGGGTTCGAGGGTTTGAGCCGCGGCCCGACGTTGTGTCCTTGGGAAAAGCACTTTACACGAATTTTCCTCACTTCACCCAGGTGGGAATAGGTACCCGGCCATAGACAGCAAAAGATCTTGTCAGTACGTTAACGTTTTAGCACCCATAAATGGCAGCTTGCACTGTATGCTTCCCAGGAAGTTGAGGTTGTTTCAGAATACTCTAAGGTCTGCTGAGGTAATAGTACAGATTGTAAAGTGCATAGAGCTTGCTGTTGAGCAGGGATTTGCGCTATAAAAATGCTATCTATTATTGTTATAAGTAAGCTCTCCTTGTACCTTAGCAAAGAAGTATTAAGAAGAACGAGACAGGGCCCAGTCAGAGATGAGGAGGGAAGAAGGCGTTGGCGATGGATTGGACACACTTTCAGGAAGTCAGGCAGCTGCATAACAAGGAAAGTGTTAAATTGGAACCCACAGGCAGGGCCGTCGAGAGCCTGGTAGGGCCCTGGGGCAGCAATCACCTTCGGGCCCCTCCTCCCCCTGGTCTCACCCAGCCTCACCTGCAATTTAATAACCCAACAAATACAATGTACATAGGCATATATAACCACTTTATTGGAGCATATCTATTACATACCAACATACTCTCTCTCTCTCTCTCTCTCTCTCTCTCTCTCTCTCTCTCTCTCTCTCTC